TACAATGCCTGCGGTGCGTTCGGCGATAGTCTTTTTTTGTTCTCCTTCTTTTTGACTTTTGCTTTTATGTTTTTTTTTTATAACTGGCCATGCTATAGGTTTTATGTCTATTCTCATTAAAAAAGAACCGCTTTCTATCTCATTTTCTCCCACATTAAATCATATGAATTTGGAAATACGCTAAAAAATTAAAAACCACTTCGAAGGTTTTAAAATTAAACTAAATTATACATGTCGAGCGAATACCTCCGCATTCCAATAAAAGATATTTACTTTTAAATTAAATATTAGTGTGCATCACAAAGCTATTTCTTTAGTTTGAAAATGGCAAGAAACCGTTTCAGATCAGCCATTCCCGATCCTGCGGACAGAATGGAAAGCAGTCGACGTCGCCCAAAACACGTCATCTCGGATCCTCCCGATCCACTAACGGTGCTTCTAGGTACTTCAAGCACCGGTCACCGTTCTCGTCGAACCCGTCGCTTGCGACGAAGGGCTCGACGAGTAAATGAACTCCCAGACACAGCCCACTGAGTTTCTCGCCGGATCTTCTCAGTNCCGTTCTCGTCGAACCCGTCGCTTGCGACGAAGGGCTCGACGAGTAAATGAACTCCCAGACACAGCCCACTGAGTTTCTCGCCGGATCTTCTCAGTGGGTCGCGTTTCCGATCCGGTGGTAGATTCTGCGAAGCACGGCTCTTGCTAGGGTTCGTGTTAGCAACGTCATCAGGTTTGAGCCCCGTGAGCTCACCTACAAACGTTAGGGTTACGCTGAAATAGCCTCTCAAGACTTTCAGCTTAGGTAGGTTCAAAAAAAAATAATCAGATCAGATTTGTATAATAAGAAAATTCAATAAAATCAATAATAAATTACGAGAGCGGATCGCTAATAAAATCATATTTATATTTATAATTTATAATAATTATATCTATATATTTATACATGTATTACACCAAGAAAATAACATGAATGTTTTCAAATAAATATTATTCACTTTTCATTCAAATGTTTGTCGATTTGCAGAATTTAATGCATGAAAAAACAAATACTAAAGATAATAATTGTTTATTGTATCACTGATATGCTACTTTCATTCCATAATAAACTGGCATCGCGTGATAGATGCGCTGAGAAATGTTCATCTTAATATTTATTATTCGCTCCTTAACATATTTACTTAGCAACGTAATTTTACTAAGAGGTTTTTGCTGATAAATTTGATAGTTTATTTTGTTTGTGAGCGCTTAAAGTATTTTATTAAACAAGTTAGCATCTGTCTGCGGGATTCTAGCACCGGCATAGTCATCTCGCTCGATAGTATATAAGGCATCTTAACTTTTAAGCGACAGACACTCAATCCCACGAATTTTAAGTAGGTACAGTAGGTATATGGAGGGCACTGTTAAAGGGTGGGTCCAGGAGCTCTTTTAAAAAAAGGAATCTGTGACTGACACTGAGTTTATTTTATAAAAGAAATAATACAAACGATGTGTGTTCCCTCCAAGCCAATTCTGTTCTGCTGCGCTTTAGCACTAAATCGTCTGTATATAAAGACGATGCGCATTCAGGAATGTTGAATGGTAAACCGTCGGCATTGCCCAAAGCACGTCATTACGGATCCTCTTGACCCATTAACGGTGCTTTTAGGCACCACAAGCACCGGTCACCGTCCTCGTCGAAACCGTCGCTCGCGACGAAGGGCTCGACAAGCGAATTAACCAATAGACACAGCCCAGAGTTTCTCGCCGGATCTTCTCAGTGGGTCGCGTTTCCGATCCGGATGGATTCTGCCAAGCATTGCTCTAGGCTCAGTGTTAGCAACACTCCGGTTTGAGCCCCGTGAGCTCACCTACAAACGTTAGAGTGAAGCTGAAATAGCCTCTCAAGGCTATCAGCATAGGTAGAAAAAAAAAGGAATGCCTTAGTCTGCATTATTATTTATATTACGTTATTATTGAGGGGCATATGTAACAGTACCTCTACCCTAAGAATCACATCCCAGACTGGACCCCGTGAGCTCGCCTACACGCTCGGTAAAGCTAATATAACCCTTCGAAGTTACTAGCAGTTGACAAGAAAAAAGAAAAAAAAACTTTTTCCCAACCTATTCTATGGTAGTCTAAGAGGCTGTTCCAGCTACGCACAGACGGGTAGGTGAGCTCACGGGCTCAACCTCAAGAGAATTTGCTAACACTAACACTAGCAAGAGCGGTGTTTCGCAAAGTAGTGTAACTTCAAAAATACGCTAAAAGTAATTTTATTCTTTTTTTCAAGTCAGAGCTCACTTGAGTTGGATATTTTTACTTATAGGTTAGTGACGTTTATAAAAATTGTTCAAGGGCATCCTCCATGTTAATAGTAGGTTAAATAGTGTAATTGTTTAATGTTTAACGGCCGTCTGGTGTAATGGTAAGTGACATGGTCACTACACAAGGGGGTCGCGGGTTCAAATCCCGCCAAGGGAAGATATTTGTATGATAAATATAGAAATGTCTTTTCCAGGGTTATGGATGTTTATTAAATATATGTATGTGTATAATAAAAATCTTACATTTATTTCCGTTATCTGGTACCTGTAATACAAGTTCTTTACGAACTTAGTACGGGACCAGTTAATGTAGAGTGATTGTTAGTAAATATTTATTTATATTTATACTTATATTGTGAATTAAATTATTTTTTTACAATATAAGTTAGATTAGTTGTCTTTATCATGTTGTTTTGTCGTATAGATGTAAGGAACATTGTGTACAAATGCAGCACTTTGTCTTGCTTAGTCGTGCGCACAAGGCTTATGTTGCAAGCCAGATTTTATATCTTTCTACTCGTGTTTTTTTTGACTTGTGATGTATATTGTGTGCCTAATAAATAACTAAATAAAAGCACACCTCACTCATTTTACAAATGCTATTTTCATATCACACCACTTGCTACACTAACGCTATTAATTTGGTGGCTTCTCGATTTGTACGTTACGGCTTACAGCTGGACACTTTGTCAACTTGTCTCCAATTTAAGATGGTTCTTTTAACCTCTAAAACTCTCCATACAGTAATAAAACAATTTTGAACTTGTGCACACTTTATTAATATACATAATATAACAATAACAAAAAAACAACTATCACATTCGCATGTTTACAAATAAAACAATTAATGCGAGTAAGTCGTCTAAAATTACAAAATAATTATCACAGCCTAATAAAGCATAATATTTCTAATAATAAAGCATTTTCTAACGTCTTCCGATTTGTGAACATTGCAACAAGATTTTCGATTTAAATGTCCGCGTTAATGAAACCTACAAAGTATTCGAAAAGTCGAGACAGAGGTAGTTTTCCAATTACAGCACAAGAGCGCATTATACGGCATAATGCGCTCTTGTACTGTAATTGGAAAACTACCAGAGATATGTAATAAAATGAAAATAATGAAACCGTCATGTCACATGTAGCATTTTTTTATTTATAAAAATTTACCGGTTACAAGTCCATTGTCCCTTATGTTTTTTTTTAAGTGTTTTACGGCCCTGGATGCGAGTCCTTAAGAGATTGGCCCTTTTGAGTATTATGTTGGANGCATAATGCGCTCTTGTACTGTAATTGGAAAACTACCAGAGATATGTAATAAAATGAAAATAATGAAACCGTCATGTCACATGTAGCATTTTTTTATTTATAAAAATTTACCGGTTACAAGTCCATTGGATCTTATGTTTTTTTTTAAGTGTTTTACGGCCCTGGATGCGAGTCCTTATGAGATAGGCCCTTTTGAGTATTATGTTGTATTGAGTACTGAAATTCATATAACTTACTCTTTCTTTGCAAATAAAAATAAAGATATTACCTATGTGTTGTTTAGTAAACTACTACTATATCCTACAATATCTAAATACTCAATATTTACTTTCAATGATCCTTTAATAATTTCAATTAATAAATAAAATCGATTAATTGTAACCTTTTAAAACAAATTACGGACGATAAGTATAATTGATCTGTATTACTTTATAATCTATGGCCATATTTAAAGTATATTTTCACCGCAAATGACGTCACATACTAAAGTTTCGTTCGGTCACTTTTATAAAAATTGCGAAATGCTTACACATCCGTTATATATATCAACAATATCCCATAAACTTATATCAAGATGTGTCTATTAAGAAAGACTACGTAAATTCATAGCTGCATAGACAATTAAAACATCGCTCTGAGATTACATTCCTCCGCTGAGATTGCTAATATTAATAATGTGTTTGTAATTTAGAGACCAGAAAAAACGAACTAGCAATTAATTTCATCAAATTTCATTCATCTTGATACTGGTGAGGATATTGAAGCGAAGTTATAAATTTTTGTACCGTAAATTTTACAGATAGTCGTAAAAAATTTTGAAATGTCAATGACGTTCACAAAATTATATTAAAAGATATATGAAACATAATTATAGAAATAAGTGATCGTATTGTTTAAAATCGCCTTTATTATATTCATTTTAGAATGGCCATTCGAATACAGTTATCGTGGTATAAGATAGCTATAGATCTTGAAGATAGTTCATTCCCAACCGAATGGTAAACAGTCGACGTCGCCCTAAGCACGTCATTTCGGATCCTCCCTATCCACTAACGGTGCTTTTAGGTACCACAAGCACCGGTCAAGGGTTCTGCGAGTAAATTAACCCACAGACACAACCCACTGAGTTTCTCGCCGGATCTTCTCAGTGGACATTCCGATCTGGTAGTAGATTCTGGAAAACACTGCTCTTACTAGGGCCAGTGTTAGCAACACACCCGGTTTGAGCCCCGTGAGCTCACCTACACGTCAAGGAGAAGCTGTTATAACCTCTCAGGGCTATTAGCATAGGTAGGAAAGAAAAATCTGGAAAACACTGCTCTTGTTAGGGCTAGTGTTAGCAACATCGTCAGGTTTGAATTACTAGTTCTGTGAATCTAGTTATGACCCCTCGAAGATACTAGAATAGGTAGGAAACAAAATAATAAAATGGTAAAAACGTTAAATAAGACTGGTAAAAAAAATTAAAAAATGATAACGCGCCCGGTTAGCAAAATCATAAGACAACAATTACAGATGTATAACAATAGGATACACATTCACATTGATTAAGGACACTTAAGCAATACTTTTAGTATGTCCAACAACTTTACAAATTATTTCTTTCATTCTTAATCCAATTCCAGTAACACGGCCCAACAATTCTCTCCTTTAAACATACTGTGTGGTTAGTGCGAGTATTTTAACGATCTCGATAGCGTAAAAGTTAACTAGAATTTGTATGCAGTTTTAAAGTTTGGCTGCGTTTGCCGCTAGGGGCGCTGTACGTTAGTAATCTGACATAAAAAGCCCGTGTCCTAAGAATTTTTTTTTATTGCCCTTGTAGGCAGACGATCATACGGCCCATCTGATGGTGACTGGTTACCATCGCCCATGGACTTCGGCAATGCCAGGGGCAGAGCCAAGCCGCTGCCTACCGTACACTGTACCTGTATGTACATTGAACACTTTATCAAAGGCGTCTCTAGTCAATGTAGGGACCGTGTGCAACCCTAGCGCCCTCTAGTAAGTTAACAATCAAAGTAAAATAGGTACAAATGTAAGAGGTTCATTGGGAATGAAGAGACTGGCGCTCCAAAATACCGCGGCGTCCACAACTTGCACCATAGATACATAGGACACAGCATAATTTCGTTGCTTTTTATTATATTTTTATAAAGACCTAAAGTAATTTGTACTCATTTATCCTAATCTAAATGCTATATATACAGCCAGTTCTAAAACGCTCAAATGTCTTCTCATCTCCATCTAAAATCCTACCAAAGCTGTCGACAGCTATCAATCCGTACGCCCGCCGGTGGACTTCTTACATTTGAAAATTAGCCGGCTATAATAGAAATCCTTTGCAAAAATGCCATTTTTTAGGAAGCATTAGTTTTGATTTATAATGCCAGAGAACGTTGTCCTCAGAGGTCAGCTCATTTTGTAATACATTGCGTGTAATGGAAAAATCGTAGGTCAACTGATTTTGTAATACATTGCGGGTAATGGAAAAGTCGTTAAAATTGATTTTTGATTGCAATTTTAGATCGCAATATACGTTAAATGCCGGTTGCTTCCTTACGACCCCCTTTGTATAAGGGCGTAACCCGTAGGATTATGTTGAGCAGTGAAAATCTCTCCGGTGATTCGATATTCTCTGTCTTCACCAAAACATATTGCAGCTACGCAGCGCCGAAGTAAAGACTACGGGTGCTAAGCCTGAACCCACTTCCTGTAAGTCGAGTCCATCATGATAGTCACCGCTTTGTCTATGGGTCGCACTATGACCGGTATGGAGGCCAGCCCTAGGGCCACAGTCAGCCAATTCCGAACGGTCAAAGGCATTTTCGGTACGTTTCTCGATAGAACACGCTGTGAGAGCGCGCATATTCTGAAATATAAGATATATATATATATATGACATTGACTTCTGGATATAGATAAGGTTTCTGACATGACATTATCAATGTAACCAATATGGAGGGTAGAGGTAAGGAGAACCGTCTCATATGGGAGAAGCTTGAAAAAGTATCCCACTTTCAGCACTAAATAACAGATCAAAAATCCTCCAGAATGGTGCTAGCATAGGCACAGGGTGATATGAATTGAGCAGTTCTTAACTGATTGAAGTATGCTGAGTTAGGAAATTTAAAATATTTAATGACTAGAGTAGTTAGTGACAGCGTAATATGTAGGACCTCACATGTTTACGTAGTCCAAGCTAATTTCGTCAATATAACCTAAAATTATTGCTGTGGTATGACGTGGTAAGACAACGATTGAAATAAAATACTTTTTGTGATTTTATAGTGCTTACAGTTCTTTCGTCCTTTTTTATTTCTCTATCTTATTATAATAACTTTCGGCGCCTTTTTTTTAAATTTACCCTATTGCTACTGTAGCGCCACCATTATTTAGCAGATTTTAACGGACACTTTTTACACACAGAGACTGTTCTCCTTACCGCTATCCTCCATAGTGCCCAAACGGGATAAGATTACCCATACACCAAACCACCACCATTGTTAGTTAAAACATACCAAGCCCACTGCTTATTTTTATATCTATACAAATCAACAAAAACACAATTTTCTTTACCTTATCTTTGTACCATTTTCTAATGATTACCAACTGTTTTTTTAGTAGTAATAAACAACTACAATATAAAGAACGACAAGGAAATACAGTCAAACCTGGATAAGCGAGAGTTCAAGGGAGCACAATCTTATTCTCGCTTATAGAGGTTTCTCACTAATCCGAGTTTCTCGCTAATGCTCCCTCTGAATTTCATTTCGCGATTTTCCGGATGCATTCACTATTTTAAGTTTATCACTTAATGTCAGTACTTTAATTTTCCGTTTTGACGTGATGCAGAACAGAACTTTCTTTCGCACTTGATTAACGATTGAGTAAGTCCGACAAACAGGACGGTACACAGGCACACGTGTCCATTTGAAAAGAATGCGATAAAATAACAACGTCATTTAGTTCCACGAAATAGAATTGGTTTATTAGTGACGAGAAAACAATACTAAAACAATGCTAGGAAGTTCCACGAAAGTTAAGAAAAAATCATAAAATAGCAGATGTTAAATTTGTAATTTATTTTGTCATTTGTTCCTCCTAATAATATAGATAAATAAAGCTCGACTGTCGCTTATAGAGGTATAGATAAGTAGCAGTCTCACTTACGGAGGTCCATGAGGGAAAAACGACTCTCTCTTACAGAGGTTTCTGTTTCTCGCTAATAGAGGTTTTGGGAGCTTAAAATGACGGGTCCTNCGCGCGATCAGTACGAGGCTTTGTGGCGGACTGCCGGCGCAGCAGCCCGGCGCGCATTTCGTGTGACATGCGCAATCAGGCGCATAACGCATTTCGTGTGACATGCTAGTACGATTTTGGTCCCCATAATTTTCATACCCCGGGCCTATATATGTAAATCGATTCTAAAGGAGTAAACTCCAATATAGTAAGTTAGTATAGTAATATAGTATATAATATAGTAAGTTAGTATAGTAATATAGTAATAAACAACTACAATATAAAAAAACGACAAGGATATACATGAAATTAATCTAAATCTTGAAGTTTCAGTCATTACAGTTGAAATCCGATCAATATGTAATTAAGGAAGGTGTAATTAGTAGTGTTTGTATTATTTATTAGTGCCACTATCGGCCAAGAGATGGCTCTCGTTGTGACTGGACGCGGTTGTACTATAAAAACATCTATGTGACCAACTATGCAACATTAAAATTTCTTCATAATGAAAAACGTTCTTAGGAAAAATTAAAAGAATACATATTAAAACAAAAGCTTTCTTTAAAGATGAGATATTTAATTATACAAACCTGTTTATTGTGAATCCCGGTATGACAACCGAGGCCAATGTTTGCCATAACAGAGCGTCTCCGGTCTCTATCAGCACCTTTTTCGGGCGACCGTCTTTCTGTAAGCCAAATAAAAACATATGATTGGACTGAGTTCAGTGACCTAGCAGACTGACCAACCTCTTAGCTGATGAAATTATAGTCATCAACATGTTTACAATTTCTAATGAATATTTGATTGATAAACTTCCAATTGTATTTTCAATTGTATATTCAAATAATACTCCAATATGTTATTCTGTAAAAAGAGTATTTTATTTTCTTTAAATCACATACCTAACTACTGCTACTATGCTAGCATGGTCAAATAAACGATAGTTTAAAAAACAACAAAAATACACTTTTATCGAAAATCCAACCAAAAACATAGAAAATAAATTTTAATAAATTTGAATTAAAAATAGTGTAAGAAAAAATGATTTAATTGTAAAAAACTGTGGGGTGCATGGTATCAGTAGTTATAAACATTTTATGAACAGATATGAGTAGAAGGATTATTTTGATAATATCCTGAAAAGCACCCCACGCTTTTTTACAATAAAATAATTTTTCTTACACTATTTTTAATTCAAATTTATTATTTATTTGACATTTTTTAGTTGAATATCAATTTTTTAACGTTTTGTAGGGGGTCAAAATCATGTTCAAAGATTCCGTTACATACATACGTCTGAAGCTAATAAAAGCGTATTAAAAAGGAAACATTTAAAATATATCATTCTAGATTAATTCGAACTGCTTTTCAAACAGAGCAAGCTTAGCTTAAGCAAAGTTCATTTTCTCTAAATTAAATTTCTCATCTTATGTAAAAGATGAAAGTTTTTTAGTTAGTCTAGAACAGCAGGTAGAAATAACAAATTCTGTTTATCCAAATAATATATCATCAATCATATACCAACATGATGATGTTTAAATAATATATTTTTAATTTACAATCCCAAAATAATTAGGCACCTTAGCATTGTTTCTTGTGTTGAGTACTTTCACTGGTGTAGTGCTATAAATTGTTGAATAATAATGAAAACTAAGAAACAAATCTATACATTAAATAAATAAAAAATAAAGAAGCCTGTATTTCCTTAATTTCCATTTAGAATGTGGTATTTGTTTATTAATGTTTGGTTGGTTATTAATGTTTTGCATATTGTCTATTGTCTAAATGTTAGTAAGAGTTAGTTATTGTTATTGGATATGGACCCCTCCTCGGGTGAAGGCCTCCTCCAGTCCTGTCCTCCAGTCCACTGATCTGTCCTTGCCGATAGTTTGGCCATCCTTCCCTATTAATTTGGTCACCCCATTGTTTCAGTCTCCCTACCCTAAATCTTTCCTTAGATCTTCCCTACCCTGATCATTCTAAATCTATACATGAGTCGTCTATTATCAAAGGTGGCAATCTGTGCATTTGGACAATTTTTTTTATTGATATGTCAATACAGATTGATATGAATATAATCGTCTCCTTCAAGGAATACGGTTCAAAACCTGCATTAAATAAAGGTTAATAGTTAACCTGTTATTTATCTAAGATGTCGTTCCGAAGAGTTTTGTTACTGCCAATGGAATACTAAGTCAATAATTCGTTTTTCTGATTTACCAATCATTGTCCAAAAGTCAGATTGCCGGCTTTGATAATAGTCGACTCACATTAAATACTAATAATTTATTTAAATAAAAATTTTTTTGCTTTAAAAGATGAAAAATTTGAACTAGTCTTAAATTTACAAGAACCAGAGAATTAATAGAATCAGTTCTGTAGTTTTCATCTTTAAGGATTGTTATTTAGTGGGTTTAATGACAAACATACTCTTATCATTTTCCAGCTCTTGTCAGCAGTATCGGCGAGAACATACGCGAATGCTACTCCGTAACTTGCTCGGACCACCTTCACTGGTACAATAGGACGGAAAGATTCTCCAACTTCGTTCGCGTACCCTGAAACATGGATTTATTCAGCGATCAATATATAACGAGTGATGAGATGTAAGTATTTATTAGGTTTTGTTTCTAGATACATTTTGAATTGACTGTTCAATAGTCCCAATCTTTTTTTTCACTTTGTACTAGCTTCCAGGGCCTTAACCTACATTACATTTAAAAAAGAACTGATAAGGGTAGCTGTGATAAGATGTTACTAAAACTTCTCTATTTAAATATATATTCAAGTTCCTATCATAGGATATATATCACAGGAATTCGAACCCATAATGCTAAGATAAGCACTCATTAAGTTAAAGATTGTCTTGATATACCAGTATTACTATTGTAGACAAGAACTGAAATGAGTATTTTTATGGTAAGTGATATATATATTTTTTTTATTGCTTATGTCGTTGGACTAGCTCACAGCCCACCTGGTTTTAAGTGGTTACTGGAGCCCATGGACATCTACAATATAAATGCGCCACCCACCTTGAGATATAAGTTCTAAGATCTCGGTATAGTTACAACGGCTGCCCTACCCTTCAAACCGAAACGCATTACTGCTTCATGGCAGAAACAGGCAAGGCGGTGGTACCTACCCGCGCGGACTCACAAGAGGTCCTACCACCAAATGTCAAGTGCGTTAAACTTTGAATACTTAATTTTAAAAGAATTAGGTACAATAATTTACAGTAATGTCTAATAATATGTTCTTGGTACCGAAATTTGGTACCTCTATAGAAATGATCAAATTACTATTTCATTGAATTTTTGTTCAAACTCATATTTTCAATTAATTTAACATAAAAAATAATATCTTATATCTTTAAACGAGCATTTCTTGTATATGTATTCATATATAATCTGTATCTCGGAAACGACTCCAACGATTTTCATAAAATTTAGTATACAGGGGATTTCGGGAACAATTAATCGATCTAGGTAAGATTTATTTTCAGAAATTGTTGTATTATTCGTGTTTTCAATATTCAACTATATCATTAATTTTGATTGTGATTTTTTCTTTAAATAACCACAGTTCATATTTTTTTATTATTCTGTCGGTAAGATCGAAAAATATTATTTATATTTCATCATTTTATCAATATATAATTCGTATTTAAATATAATTTCTAAAAAACACAATTTACCCAAAAAAAAAAAACGGTCATTATCTAGTAAATAAATAAAATACAAAATACTTACATACCTAAATAACGTACCCAGGTGTCTCTGAAGAAATCTCTGTTCGTTTCTACCATTATTAATGTTTATTTACACATTTATCGTTTAAATTTAATTTTCAAACCGTATCTTGTAAATTAGCAAAGATTTTATTGGAAAAACAAGGCACACGATTAGATAACTTTTAAGGCAGTTTTTAAGCACCAATTTGTTTTAAACTTCCCTACAAAAGGCATTTATGATTACTGAGTCCAATTTTTTTGTATCTTGAAGTTTTTGTAATATAATAATTATCTTCAAAAACAGATCTAATTTATAATCAAAACTCGAGCGACGATGGCGCCGACGAGCGCAGACATAGATTATACCTACCATAGATACACTTAATATATTTGAGAACCTACACTTAATTAAGGGTGATACCGATATATTAGTATTCACTAAGATATTTGTAATACAGCTTGTATTCGTGTATCGGTAATCCGTCGAATTCTGATACGCTAATATTCCGTATTCATCTTATTCATAACAATTAGCCAACTCACATCGGTCGGGTTGTATCTATCACTCGAAAATATACTGGCATACGCCGTACGTGTCTCGCAGATATCTCTCTATCACATTCATATCAATGCTGCATGCGCTAAGAGGAAGTGAGATAACCTACATGTTTATATACTGATCAATGAAAATAAGTAATATCACTGTGAGTTTAAGGACTATTTTGTATTTCACTTTTTACATGTCAAAGATGATAGTGGGTATTTTGCATGACTTTTTAATGTTTGAATCTTCATTTCTTGATTCAACTAAAGTTTCTACTCAAGACAAAGTAGTGCATTTTTACATTTATTGGAATAAAATCGGTAAGCTTTATTTTCGTTATTTTAATTTTATTTTCTGTTTCCTTCCAATTAGTTGGTTTTAAAACGATGATTTGAAAAACGGAAGTAGGTAATTGACATTGTTTACCAATTTCATAAATTAGAATATTTTTACATAAAACGTAATACTGCCAGAACTAAATTAAGTGTTTTTACGTAATAAATTATGATGACAATATATTTTTTCAGTGGTATTTAATTATCTTCTAAGAACTTCTCAAAATATAAATAAAAGTTTGATTTTTGAATCGAAATGACTTTCTAAGCAAACGGTTCATGGATTATAATATTTTAACTGTTGTGTACCTACTAGCCACCTCAGTACCATGTAAGGGATTTTTTCAAAATCTGGTAAACTAATTTCTGACCGAAGTACCAGTCTTTCGGTAGAAAAAGAAAAAAGCTGATGTTTTTATGCACCGATAAGAAATAAATAATATTACTAACTTGTTGTTTATATTAATGTGCAATGTTTACCAAATTCTGATTTAGTAATAATATTCATATTAATGTACACAATATTACTTGTAAAACATTTAGTATGAAGTCAAATTCCTAGATACAATATACTATTCATATTATTAATAACTTATTTATGTGTATTATCTATGATTATTAACTTATTTCACGAATATCGTACTAGGTTTAACTCGTTTACCCTTTCTGTCGAAGTATATTAAGATATCAGGATATATTCACGTATTAGTTAAGGTATTATAATATTACATAATAAATATATTCGTATTAGCTAATATTGACAAATATCAAAAAGAACCCCAATCACGATGTACGACCAACCCATACCATGGGCCCCGAAGGTCAAATACTAAGGCGTCACCCTCGACAGAAGGATGACATTCCGCCCCCATACAAAGACGGTACGCGACCGTGCCGCCTTCATACTAGGACGTCTCTACCCGATGATATGCAGGCGAAGTAAAATGTCCCTTAGAAATAAGATGACACTCTACAAGACTTGCATACGCCCCGTCATGACCTATGCAAGTGTAGTGTTCGCACACGCCGTCCGCACTCACTTAAAATCATTCCAAGTTATTCAATCCCGTTTTTGCAGGATAGCCGTCGGAGCCCCGTGGTTCGTCAGGAACGTCGACCTCCATGACGACCTGGACTTAGAGTCCATCAGTAAGTATCCGCAGTCGGCGTCGATGCGCCACTTCGATAAAGCGGCACTACACGAGAACCCTCTCATCGTGGCCGCCGGTAACTACAATCCCGATCCTGCGGAAAGAATGGAAAGCAGTCGACGTCGCCCCAAACACGTCATTTCGGATCCTCCCGATCCACTAACGGTGCTTTTAGGTACCTCAAGCACCGGTCACCGTTCTCGCCGAACCCGTCGCTTGCGACAAAGGGCTCGACGAGTAAATTAGCCCTCAGAGTTTCTCGCCGGATCTTCTCAGTGGGTCGCGATTCCGATCCGGTGGTAGATTCTGCGAAGCACGGCTCTTGCTAGAGTTCGTGTTAGCAACGTCATCAGGTTTGAGCCCCGTGAGCTCACCTACTAGTTAAGGTTCCGCTGAAATAGCCTATCAAGGCTATCAGCTTAGGTAGGAAAAAAAAAATTTTTTTTTGACAAATATCGGTATTAGCCCATCTCACTTAATATTTGAGATAATAATAAGGTGAATGAAGTTAGCCCCTCAAAAAAAATTTTTTTTCCTATTTTATACTTATTTTCTATTAATTCGTTTGTTCATCATTTGTTCATGATTGTTCACTGTTAATAATTGTTTGTTCTGCAGTTATTTATTTAAAAAAAATATTTAAAAATATACCTACAAGTTAGCCCCTCTAATGCAATTTTTAATATTTTTTCATCCTTAATGACTTGTAAATATTCATTTTGGATTGTTCTTATATAAAACACGTTTGTTCTCTTTCGAAATTATTCGTTTTTTGTTTGATTTACTATTTTTATTAGTTGAATAAATGTATGCAAAAATGTGTACTGCGCATGCGTCAACTATAATGCCTAAACTTTCTACGCGGTTTTAATCGTGAAAAAAAAAACAAACATAAATCCTGAAGGAGCAATTAATTGGTATATAGTTTAATTAAAAATGAGAGTTGCGCATCTATCTCAAATATATTAAGTGTATAATCTATGGATGAGAAAGACGATTGAAATAAAAATACGAATTTCTTCTACATATTTGCTAATTTTACAGATCTTACATGATAACTTTTCACACAACACGCTTATTGAATTTGCCAAATTTTTCTCTCACATGTGATAATGTTAGTCATTACATACTTTACTTTTGTGACAATCTTCTCCGTAAAATGGCAGGAACATAACTGCAATAGATTTTTAAGCTCCTCGCTTTTTTTTCTATTTACTTTTAATTTTTGCATTTTTCTGAACGTCTAAACGGTTAATATGGTATATCATGATTACTTTTTATTGTAATCTGTCTACGCAATAAACAAAAAAGTCAGATGAAATTACAAGTCCATTAAGTCAATAATTTGATGTTTTTTTATAATATTACGTTATTTACAACATAGGTCTAGGAAGATCTAAGTAATTAATATTCATGTAAAAACAATGCATTACTTAAAGTTAGGTTTAATTAAATGAACTTATGCCAATGACTTTCAAATCAAAATACGTATTATGTATATATGATTCTCAGGAAGTATGTATAATAATTATTGTAATAAACACATAACAAACACATGAATATGTAGGTAAATACAAATAGGAATCAATGATATTTTATTTGATTGTCAAATGTCAGTTGAGACTTGAGTTTGTCACAACGTTCAACATACGATAACAAATCCACCTATACAAATCCCCGATCAGCTGTTTTTTTCGCAACACAAAGAAAGGTTGTGTGGTGAGGTTATGTTATTCATGAAATAATAATCATGAAAACAACTTTTAGAACTAAACGTTATGTGAAAGTGAATTGATTTAATGATAATCTGAGTGATAATAATATAGAGATATTATAAACAATCCGTGTTGTTTTAATAAAATCAAGGAGAAAAAAGTTCATTTCACGTATTTAATAGATAAAAGAGCATAGTGAAAATAGATTGGCAGTCTGGCAAGTATTTTGAAGGATATGTTAGCTTTTTTACGAAAATAATTCCCTTAATTAGTGAGTTGACATTGATTTCATCCTTGGTACGACTACGCAATACTAAGAATATGTATGTACATGTATTATAATATTTCACAACTCGTTCGACTCAATTTTGTTCAAACATCTTTTTCAACAGAAGGATAATTAACTGTTATCTTGCTTTCATTATAAATTGAAATAAATTTATACTTAGGTACAAACAGTTAAAAACTGAATGCTTAGAGGCGTTTCGGTATAGGTAATGATGTCCGATTTTTATTTTATTTTATCTTAAATAGGTGGATCACTTATCTTAAATTATTTTATTTATAAAACGATTAAATAAAAATAAAAAATAACAAAATAACACATTTTGGATTTATCATAAAGTATTCCAAGTTATTAATTACAAATCCATATCAATGAATCTCTTATAAGTAATTTAAAAAATAAAGACTAATGTACATAATTAAAAATGGTTAAATATTGTTTTATGCGCACTATAGCGTATTTCGATAAATTAATATAAGAACAAATATGAATGCGGACTGAATAAATAGTCACGTGCGTTCGCTTGAATGTGAATTACTGAAAATTCGATGTCAGTCAATAGGTACGCACTCCACCATTTCTTTGTTGGTAGGTAGGTAGTACGAAGTAAAAATTTATAATGATTACGAGGACTTTTTGGCGGGAACGCGAGGAGTGAAGTTGTGTGATTTGTTTTATTTTGTCTATTTCGTGTTTCTTCAGGTTTAAATGTGTAATAACGGTGGTTTATTAACTGTTTAATATCTGAAAGTGCACAAATGTGGGAAAATGAAACAAAGCTGCTGGACGTAACTTCTCGGGTTCCTCCAAAAAGTCCACTGAAAAAATCGAAGTAAATGACCACCATTTTACTGCGATTATATTTCATCCCATATCATCTCATCTCATGTCATTTAATTTCGTTTTCATTTCACTTCATGACATGTTTCATAATAATCAACTTCATTTTATTTCATAATATCATTTTCATTTATAAAAGTTACGTATCATTAAAATTAAAATAAGACTTGACCTAAAGGTCTTAGTTACCAGGTCATAAAATCCCTTAAAAAAATAATGATTACGAAGATACAACCCACTTCTATCGGCACTATTGCACACTTTTAAATCAAATTTTATTTTGCATATTTTAAATTAAGGCCGATTGCCTAAATTATCAGTGCGGTGTGGCTTCTCTCTTTCTCTTATCGCGTGCGATTCAGTTCGCAATATCTAGTACAAAAGGTACCCACTTCAGGTAACGGGATCGCTGCTAGGCACTGCTCTTGCTAGGGTAGTAGCTTCGCCAGGTTTGAGCCCCGTAAGCT